ATTGGAAGTATTTTTAAAAATATTTATGTATCTATTTTTATTATTGTTTTACAGGGTTTCACTATGCAGCTCAAACTCTTAGTGATCCTCCTGTCTCAGCCTTCCCAGTGCTAGGATTGCCAGCATGTGCCACCATGTCTGGTTTCAGTGGCTCACACAGCAAGTCCAGGGTTCCAGGGTTGGCACAGCAAGCAGTACTAGGGATCAGTTTCAGGTCCTTGTGCTTGCCAGGCAGGTGCTCAGACCACCGATCTATCTCCCAAGCCAATTGGATATATTTTATAATGTAGTTGTTTTTGCCATAGGAAGAATCTGACTGATGATATTCTGAAAGTTACATTTGCCAACCCCATGCTGGGAATCAAGTGCAGATCCTCATATGGCTTGGCCAATACTTTAGAAGTGCAGTACACCTCTAACAAAAAATACATGTATTTAAAGTCATTTTATGGCACTCAGAAGGCTGAAACAGGAGGATCACAATTTGGAGCCCAGCCTGGGTAATTTAGTAACTTAGCAAAACACTGTTTCAAAGATAGAGAGAGAGGGGGTAAGATATAGCTTAGTGTGAAGGTCCTGGGTTCTATCCTATACCACCAAAAAAAATCATTACTAGCATAGTTAAAAAGTACAAAATACACAGGGAAATTCTTATACTGTGTGCACTTAACTGTACAGGTTTCCACATAGCATCACCATCTTGCCTTGATGCTTTCCCACTTCTTGGAAGCACTAGCTCCCACATCCATGCAGCCTCTTCACAGCACATACTGGGGCTACAGTCATTTATATCTGAATACAATTCAAGAGTGAAATGAACTCTTTTCTTATCCGAGAACAAAGTGGTTACTCAATATTCATTATTAGTAGCCAATGAAATAAGAAAAATTCATTTTAAATAGTACTCTTAATTATGCTAACCAAGAATCATAATTATTGATGACTGTACTTGCGTACTGTTTAACACAAAAATGTTAGTAATAAGGGTCGGCCTGATAACTCAGCAGATTAAAGTGTCTGCTTAGGCAGATGCAGGGCCACATCTTGTATATCTTGTACATGCCAGCCCTAACCCTGGGGAGCACTGAGACACAACTGAGACGGGGCGCCTGTAATCCTAGCACTTGGAAGGCTGAAAAGCAGGAAAATCACTATGAGTCCGATCTACATAGTGAGCCCCTGTAGACCCTGTACTAGATACAAAAAAAAATAAATAAAATAAGCATTAAACACTTAGCTTCCATGTTAGTTAACAATAAGAAGTACATCCCTTTTACGTTTTTGTGTCTAATAGTCATGTTACCATAATTTCTGTTTGAGTTTTGTTTTAGAGTAGTAATTCTCAAGGAAGGGCCCTTTTTTTGTTCTCCCAAGGGACAGGTGGTACTTACTGTATGGAGATATTGTTGGTCATACCTCTATGTGGTAGATACTGACATCTAGTGGGTAAAAGCCTGAGGCACCGTGAAACTTAACTCACAAAGTAGCCCCTATAAAAAGAATTGTGGAGCTCACTGGCTAAGAATGTCGACCATACCAACGTTAAGGTAGTGCTTTCTAAAGAATGAATGGGTTCTTTAGGGTAGTTTAAGTGAGTTCTAGCACCATACACATGGAAGTCAGAAGTTGAATTCCACAGGGACTACTTATGTTTTCTTTCTTGAACACTAGAAGAACAGTGACAGTGTGGTAGATACTTAACACGGTCATGACCACTCTGGCAAACCACTCAAATGATGATGTTTCTTTCAATCCTGGCACTCCACATGGGCTGCTGCTTGCTGGATTGGAGTTGGGTTATAAACCGATGCTGCCTCACTTGCACACAGCTTTCCAGCTCCAGCCAATGTCACTACCAGTGCAGGGAGAGTGGGTGGGGAACTGGGCAGTTCTCAGCACTTATATCCATACCCTCCAGACTCACGCAGACAAGTGCTAGGAATAAGTAGCAGTTAATGCTGATAAAGTTGTTCTTCATGGCTGGCTCAGAGGGGACAGTGTTTCAGCATTCTCTTGTGAGCTTATTGGTCAAACCCGGGGCCTCATGCATACTGATCAAGCACTTTACCACTGAGCTACACAACCAGCCCTTTATTTTTGCAAGACCAGTTGATATACTGAGAACAAAGAGAGCTGCATTTGAAGTGTGGCCTAAACAGAGATGGCAAACCTATGCCATGCATGTCTTATGTTTATTTCAAGACAAAAGATGTCAAAGTAGAGCTGTTTTTTCTAAGCTAAAGCCTCAGTATTCAGGTTGAACTGCAGTGCTGGCACTTAGTGATAAGTGCATTTGGGGTTGCAGTTTGGCACTTAATCTCTAAGAGGCTTGCCATCACTGGTGTAAAACATTTATTGGTATGCAAGAAATAATTAAGGATAATATAGAACAACTTGGACTTTTATATAAACTATTTTTCTAAAATGTATTACCTAAAACACTCATAAGCCAAGAATTATATAGTTGGAATAGTGAAGATTTGTTTAAAATTTGGCCATTTGACTCTGTTCTAACTGAAAACAGATATAAGTAAAAAATACTGTGTGGAAAAATACTTGGGATAATTTTCGTAAAATAGTCTCTTTTGCATACACATGTTTATAATAGTTTTATGCATAATCACAAAAATTTGTAAGCAACAAAGATGTTCGTTAGCCAAATGGATATTTGACTGCAATACATCAACACACAAAAAAATTATTCAGCAGAAAAATGAGCCACACAGACATAGAGGAGTTGCAAATATAAATTGCTTAAAAAAATCAGTGTGAAAAGCATACATAACCATACAATTCCATTTATATGTTGTGAAATAGGCAGTTACAACAAAAAGATTACCTAACACAGTGAGCCCTAATATAAACTATGAACTTTAGCTTGTAAAACTAGATAAGTATTGGTTCATCAGTTATGACAAATTAACTGTAAGAGTGTAAGATGTTCTCTTTATTTTTTAGAGATTTTTATTTATTTAATGAAAAACAAATAGCAGTGAGACAGTTTCAAAACCAATTAGTAGGACAGTTTCAATAATACTTTGCATATTGTTGTCTTCGTAGTTGTAAGATGGTCTTAACAGAAAAACTTGGGAGGTATATGGCAACTCTCCATACTTTCTGCTAACTTTTTTCTTTTTTCTTTTTTTGGTGGAACCGAGAATTGAACTCGGACCCTTTCACTTGCCATGGAAGCACTTATTCTACTAAGTCATCTAACTTTTTTCTTTAAACGTAAAAACTTCTGTAGCTGGGCATGATGGCACACTCAGAAGACTGAGGCAGGAAGAATGCTGTAAATATGAGACCAGCCTAGGCTACAAAATCAGCTCAAGGCCAGCCTGAACTGCATAGAGAAACCTTGTCTCAAAAAGACAAAAAAAAAAAAAATCTCTCTATAACATAAAGTCTATTAATTTATTTTCCTATGCAGTAAATAAAATTCTTTCTACGGAAAAAAGTAAGGTAGAATTTCAGGGCACCAGGGAGATGACTCAGTAAAATAAGCACTTCCCTAGCAAGCACAAGGGTCTGACTTCAATCCCCGGTTCTGCCAAAAAAAAAAAAAAAAAAAAAAAAAAAAAAAAAAAAAAAAAAAAAAAAAAATTTTATAAAAGAATAATAGAGTAACAATAGTTAATATATTGCAGCTTGTTATCTTTAAAGAGTTCAAGATATCGGCATAAAATATTCTCCAAACAATCCTAGGACAAACCTTTCTTTTTAATGAACTGAGAGACATTAGTAATACAACTATCTTGTATTAATAGTCTCTCTTTTGTGCTAAGTGGCTCATTACAGAGTCACAGTTACTTAATATATTTGAGATTTTGGAGAATAACATACATAATTGCAAAACCATTAGCTTTCATGTCAAATCCAAGTCCTAATATTTCCCATTGAACTGGTTGACTTTGGACCATTTGACTGCTACATGGCTGCTTCAGACCTAAGAAGTAGAGTACTTAAATGATAGCAATAAATAAGGAAAGAAGATAGTCAAATAAAAGATTGACCAGGAGGAGGGCAGCATAAACAGGCTGTGGAGTTAGACAAAGGAGACCCCAACTCTGGTCTGTTGTTGATGCTGATTGTGCTTGTGAACCAGCTACAGATATTTGATGGACATAAAATGGTGTCACTTGCTCAAGATTACATGAGTGGGGACTGAGTAGCTGAAGCTTTATTTCCTAAATCTTATTTTTCTTCCCTGTAAAATCATTCTGTTGGTGACCATCTCATTGCTTTCTGTAAGGAGCAATTAATATCATCCTTGGGGAGCCACGTGTGGTGGCACACACTTGTAATCCCAGCTACAGAGGAGGCTAAGGCAGGAAGAGGTTCCTGTGTCAAAACAAATAAACAAGAAGGATCATAAACTGTGAAGAAGGGCCATATCTTCAGTCCCTTGAACTTTATCTGAGTTGTCAGATAAAGAAGATCCTTAGTCCCTGTCATCAGTCGGTTTTGAGACCCGTGTGCCATAGACAGAGTCTTGAATATCTGGAAGTCAGGGTCTAGTACAGCATTTACTACTAATGCTCATGCTTATGAGTAATGATGAATGATCATTAGTATAAATACCAGTGATGCTAGCAAGGTGCCTGGTACAATTGGTTTAAGTGCTTTATTTTTTCTACACTAGCTTTCACTTTAAAGTGCAGTTTTAGCACAGTGTGTTTACAAGCCATAGAAGCAGAGCAGTGAGGGCTCAGTAGTAAGCAATCATGGTGCAGATAGGGCAGTGGTGAAATGTTAAAGGACTATATTCAAGGCTTATGAGTTTATCAAGTAATGAATTGTTATATCTTAATCAAAGATATTCTTAAGGAATTTTTTTAATAGCAAGGGCATGGCTGAGAAGAATATTAACAACTGATAGTGTCATTTCCTGGACTCCTCACAAGTTACTAACGTGCTCACCACATCACCCTAGGGGAATTATGCTGAATTTATCAAGCATTGTCTGCTAACTGGACTTTCTCCTCCCCCTTTGGCTGAAGACCCTAATTATCTCATGGCTAATGAACGCATGAACCTGATGAACATGGCTAAGCTGAGTATCAAAGGTTTAATTGAGTCAGCTCTGAACCTGGGCAGGACTCTGGACTCTGACTATGCGCCCCTTCAGCAGTTCTTCGTGGTGATGGAACACTGCCTGAAGCACGGCCTGAGAGGTAGGCTTGGTCTCCCATGCAGAGGTGCACACAACTGGCTCCTGGAAATTTGCATACTAAACATTGTCTCCAAAATATCCATAATATAATCTGCTGTAATGTAGGCTCTGTGGGAGCAGGGCTGTGATGACATAAAAGACTAACAGGACCTTAAAATACAGATCACTAAGCATTAAAGTCAGAAGGGCCATCATAAGTACTTAAGTCCAATACAGTAGGTCTGTCCAGTAGACGGGCAGTACGCCTCCCTGTCGTGGGACATGACTGACCCAAGGTCACAGTGATTGGGGCACGACAAGTTCTAGAATTTATGTCTCCTGACTCTTGCTTCAGGATTCATGATCACAAGCCTTTGAGGCAGGACCCAGTCTTATTCATTTTCCTTCCTTTCTCCCTCCCATCTCAGTATTTTCTTTACTAATGCTATGAAGCTTTAAGTACTAAATTGGTGAAATGTTTTATTACAGCAGTTGGTCACAGTTCTTCCTGAAAAGGAAGGATTAAGTCTTGGGAAGTAGAGATCGTTTTATTTTCATAAAATTTTATTTATTCTGAAAGCAAGAATAATTTTTAAGTTGTCTAATGATGTAAAATTGGGTCCTTAAAAAGATGGGAGAAAGGGTCTGGACATTTAGCTCAACTGCATAAGCACCCGCCTGGCAAGCGCAAGGTCCTGAGTTCAGTCCCCAGTACTAAAAAAAAAAAAAAGGATGAAGAGATAGCTCAGCAGTATACGTGCCTGTCTGGCAAGTACAAAGTGTTGAGTTTAAGCCCCCATTTAAAAAAAAAAAAAA